CCTATTCATTTCCTTGCAAGTCCTTGTGCAAATCCCTCCACTTACCCGACAGAAAAGGACACGTTGACCACTTCTGAGACGTCCATAATACCCGCGTCCACATCGAGTATTGCAACAATACATGCATTTGTAAACTTTCCTGGAAAGTATTTGGGGGGTCAGAAACACGCGACATGTTTTGGTCATTATGCGCGATGGATCTATAAGCAAAAAAACGATAAATATATAACATAGTTAGTTTTAACTCTTAAAATACTCTTTAGCCTTATAAACTTTATTACTCTTTATTTTGCAAGCCTTTCTTTGTCGTCCGTGTACAGTGAAGACCCGTCAAACAAACCTTGACTAGTATGATAGTCAATTATACACAAAAGAAAACAATATGAGATTAGAGCGTATTATGTTGAAAGAATTTCACTYAGGTCGAAAGCGTTCTTTTATCTTTGCAATGATTTTCMTTTTACTTAGGTTAAGCGCAAGTTAAATTTCTCTAAGCAAAACGTTCAATGCCGTTCTATTATATGTGTACACAATAACCTTTTWCCTACCTTTCTGGACGTCCTCTTGCATATCAAGCTTTTCAAGGGTCAGCGAATCTACACATAAGAAAGGAATACTAGTTAATGTAACAAAGTGACAAGAACCAACTGAAAAACACATTAAATTTAAACAGAATTATTGAGACACTGGTTTGCGATAAGTAATATAWATACTATTTCACAAGTACCTTCATCGGTTTCCTCGTCTTCTTGGGCATTTAATTCTTCTTCTTTTGCATTTTCTGCAAGCCATTCAAACACTRCTTTATGAGTTTCATAAACAGCAATTTTTTTTTCAAAAACTGGTTCAAAATTCTTACCTGGGATGTCTTCGTCCTCGTCTTGTGGTATTTCTGGAGMTTCACCTTGTTCCTTATCTGAAAGATCAGCTTCAGTTTTGAGTTCTTCAGAAGCTTCAGGTTCGTCTTCAAATGGAGCAGCCCCAATGAAAGCAACGAGACCAAAGATCACAAGAACGCTGAGCAAGAGCTTCATGGTTGTCAACAGTATGAAAACTTACACGACTAAATTCACAGTGAATTTGCTTGCTCTTTTATGCGATGCTACCGTCCCATGATACTCTCAGGATACCGGCGTGTTTGATAGGATCGTACGCCATTACGGCCTATTGTGTAAACCAATTCTCAAAGAGTATTACATCATTTTGCTGTTATCTAAGATCTAAGCATGGTCATTCGGTTGAAGAGGCGTGCAATAACGCAAAGGGAGTCTAAAAGGAGCGATGGGAATTCATGTARAACTTTGGAATGACTTTGATAATCAAGGGCACAATTGTGTGGGCCCATTAACGTTTTTACAAATTTTGGTACTCGTTTTTGTTTTTTTGATAAACAAAATCACGCATAAAGTGAGGTATTTTGAACATTTACTTACGCAATACAAGAGCAATTACCATGACATTTTGCTTTCACAATTCTAAAATCTCAAAAATTCTTGAATTCCTGTATTATTGGAAGATATGTTTGCATTTCGCTGTAACTGCATTCTGAATGCATGATATTTATGCCCCYATATTGAAGTCGGTTTCCCTGTTTGTGTACCTATATCAAAATCAAAAGTCATCCAAATAGGGCACTGGTGAAAAACGMACTGCGCTTGCCCACAGCTTTTCCGCCAGTGAGCGCTCGCGTCTTGAAATCTGTAAACAGAGCGCCTGATTTACAGCGACAACACAGAAAACACTACGAAAAACCTCATTTTCTCAAAATAGAAATGACAAGATTAACGAGCTTGTAAATTGTAAAAAACTTTCACAAAAATCGCTTTACAAAGRAAATTAGGCAGATTTCAGCGGGAAAGCTGTGGACATGCGCAGTGCGTTTTTCACCAGTGTCCCAAAATAGTGAAATAATCGTGGACTTGTTGTTCACAATTCTTGGTGTACAACCACATGACCAAGAATCYTCTGAGACATAAAGAACGAAGCTATCGCCGCCATTTTGGATGAATGAACAAGAAAAAACTAATGAGGAATGCTTTGTGATTATCACCCAACATGGCGGTGATGGCGTAACTTGCATTGCACGCCAAGAATACGTCACAGCGGCCGTTTTGGATGAACTTCAACAAAGAAATTCTTATTAGTRTCTATCATCGCCGCCATCTCCGCCATCTCATATCTTTTGAATCTTATGGAAATGATCGAAGAGCAATTTTGTGATGTTCGTAGTTAGAATTTTAATCCTTACTGCAATGTTGTCGACAAGGTCATTTAATGAACACTCTACCACATGAAAGTTACAAGGCATCACGTTTGCATAACAAATGCCCTAATCAACCTTTGTAATTGGTCAGGCTGATTTCAAAGCAAAATTTTGATAATCTAGTATTACGTAATTTCAGCCATGTTGCAAGACACTTGAGCAGAATATACAATCTCAGATTGTAGAGTGGTTTTCATTAACCCGTGAGACACACTTTAGCGTATTTCATCGCTATTACACTTTGGCTTAGCCTGCGTGCAGCCGAACCAAAACTTGTTGTTATGTTCGTCTGCGAATCAGCGACGAAAACCGTGTTCTAGACCCCCAGCGATGTATCGGGATATATGTACTTCGCTCTTATATAACAACAAGTTTTGGTTCGGCTGCACGCAGGCTAACTTTGGCTCTTTTGTTTTTTATTGTCTCTACGCGACTATTACGATCTATTACACTCTAATTATTACACTTTGTTTCACGGGTTTATGAAAACAACTATATGGGATGTGTAGGCAAAATCACAAAATGATTCGATTTGTTTAGTGCAAATAAGAGCTCTGGGCCTGGCAAACATTTCATATTGAAATTTTCTGAGCACTGGACGAAAACTAATGGAAATCCCTCTCTTAATAGCATTTATCTAGTCTTTTCACGCATCGATTCAACTTACTTATACTAAGATCTTTAATAAAGCTACTTTGGAACGCAAATATTTTTTAACTTAAAACTGAGAACATTTGTCAATGAATGAGGATTCATTTTAGGAGAAAAATTGGTTTTAGAGTCAAGCAAATCAAAAACACTGAAATTAAAGTAAGAAAACATAAGCAATACAACAGCAATTGAATTAAGGTATTTTACGAGGAATGCACATTTTCAAAACTTAATTATCCAAGCACTGGGCTGMATCTAATGAAAGTCACTTCCACAATAGTTTCATACTGTATTTTCACGCTTCGAATCAAGATGTGACAYGGAATGTAATGATATTTTAAGAAACTTTTCTCATAATGGCATCAATACATCAAGAGCTATAGTATTATATTCTGGGTTTCAGTAAAGATTTTGAATTCTTTTCTGCGGGCTATGTGCTCTATGGATGGCTGCGTGCTTCGTTGCGTTTATATGTAAAWCGGCAYGATGTAGTTCTATAACCAAGTTTTCGACAATTTAACGATAAAAATTGTCCTTACAAATAGATAATAAATTGAAAGTCTCTTGGAGTTATCATTTGAACTGAGTAGAGTAAACCAAGTTGAACAATGGATCGAMAAAATTGTAACAATCCTAGGGTTTTGTTTTCTATATAGAGTGCACGTCACATAAGCATGAAACAATTCTTAATATGTATTGCTAAATAAGATTTAGTTATCAACTAACTAAGAATTCAACAAAGTACACTGTTTTCTGGTTCAGTAACATACAGTACATATTTGCAAAACAAAACTAGTTAGGCGAGACAGCTACTTTTAAAAAGTACACTTTAAAAAGTGTCTTATATTTTGCCTATTGCGAAACTTACATTTTAGGTCATGTCACATGCTTAAGCAAAACAACGCCGACCTCGGAATTAATCACACATTTTAATGAATCAAGTAGTAATAGTCTTTTATTTGATATGCAATAGCATTATTCCCATCGGATGATACCGATCACCCATTTTTCGCTCCTGACTCATGAACATTTTTAAAAGGAGGATTATATCATTATATTGTCCAGACAACTCAGTTCGTAGGAATTCTTGTCATTATCACTCTAGAACTGAAAAAGGACAAAATCTCTGATACTTAAACAACAAAGGACCCGATTTCACTTGAACATGGGAGCCCCACCCATACCCACTTCTTTCGTGGGCCGTCCACGCGGCATCAAGTCTTGGCAATGAGTCATCACTATTTCAGATGTTGTATAGAAGTTTTAGTATTAAAAGTGATTCGAAGGGTAATAACCATATAGAAGAAAAACAYTTCTTCATTTTCAATTTTACATGCATTTTATTCTTAAATCCAAGTTCAGGTCCAGGTCTAAATGTACTAGTGAAACAAGCTATAAAAAAAGCTATCGTCTTTTTTTTCTTGATAACTAGTGAAATTAAGGATTCGCATTCTAGCCATGGAGAACACGAAGGATAGCTTTGGTGATATTTGTTAGATGAATGCACATTGACACGCATCCAACTTGCCCAGTTTTCTTAATGCACACCTTGCTTGAAACAAAGTGACTCCACTTCTTAGGCGCGAATCTGTGGCAAACAAATTGGCGTGTGCAACATCTATGGCAGACACGCTGATTTCGCCTTCCAAAAAGACGCCATCTTGAGCACCTRAAACGGACTTTGGATTTCCTAGGTTTTTTGCCTTTACTAGGTGCTTTCCCCACAGCCTTCTTCGCGTCTTCATCTGACATGTCTAAATTGTCAAGAGACGAATYTGTAAATACAACAAGGCTTCATTTAACAGTGGGTGTACCTAAGAAGCATGACCAAGGGGCAAACAGAAAATTTCAGTCGGTGAAATGGATTATTAAGTACTTTGCTCTAACTAGCCCTTGATTCCGAATATATTTAAGACCTATAGCTAATAATGCATCCAAAAGGCATGGTAGATACACTTGGATTTAAACTGAAAGGCACCTGGAGTTTCACGRTGGACGAGTAAAAAAATAAKGAAGMTTCACTATTGKTATACAAAGCATATCAAAATAGAATTTATGGGTGTTGCAACACAACGATGAGCAACAYACGCACAAYAGAAAAAGCGAACCATAGGTTAAAAGCTGAAGTTCTAAGAACAAATTAAGTTTCTACAAAGAAGTTTTAGGTTTACCTTCATCAGTTTGTTGTGGAAGGTCGACCAAGGCGTCGTTAACTTCGTCTTCAATTTCTTAATTGTAATCAAACAACAAATTAGAATCGCCTTAAGCAAATCGAATCATTTAATAAAGGCCAACTACTGATGCTCCAAATGACGTTTTGCAGATTTGCAGATTTGCAGATTGTATTTGTTTTCTTTTTTGGTAAAATGTGTGATAATTTGACGCATAACATATAACAAAATATAATATCGAATAATTTCTTACTTGGAATGACTTCGTTTTCAAGTTTTGGGTCTTCAGGTATTTCAGATTCATCTTCCAATTTGTTTTCACTATTATTGGCWTCAACATCAGCGATGTCGTCTTCATCCTGAGCTTGTTCTTCTTCTAAAGGCAATTGGACATGAAGTRCTGAGTTTAAATTCCCAAATCAAAAAATCACAAAGGTTATTTAAAAGGCTTACCTGGGGTATCATCTTTTACTTGGGCATCGGCTTCAGATAGCTCGGGAGCTTCTGGTTCGTCTTCAAMTGGAGCAGCTCCAATGAAAGCAACGAAACCAAAGATCACGAGAAGAGTCAACGAGAGCTTCATGGTTGTCAGCAGTACGAAAAATACTCGACTGAATTCAAAGTTAAATTACTCGATCTTTTATGCGTTTTTAAAATACCCATAATACTTAACTCGCGACACGCTAGATTGATTTTTAAAAGTCACAAAAAGAAAACAAAGAAAAAGTAATTAAATTRTTTCATTTTTTCAGAAAAAAATAGGTGTATTGGAACGCCATGTTTGAAGGTCCCAAAATAGTACACTGTTAATCAAGAATATGCTACCCTGAACATCCTGAGACTGCTGAGATCATAAACGCTAGAGTAATCGCGAGAACATGACCGAGGAACCGATGGACCTTAAAAAAAATAAACAAGAAACAGTCACGTAATTCAAATAAGTCAAATATTTACTTACTTATGAATACGAATTTCTTTAAAATACATTTACATTAAGATCCGGGTTTCGGCATTAATAATATCYATAGCATAACATATTTTTGTAGACTTTTGAAGCCGTAACGCTGTCGTCATGAAAGTTGACTGCGGAAAGAATATATTATCATAGCCTCGCTTCGGTGTTTTATGTTCCTTTTAAATATCATGGATTCGGCTTTGCGAGAATCAATTGTTTTCTTTACCCTTCAAAGCTCGAAGAAATCAAGTTTAAAAATATTTTATCATGCTGTTTMAAATTCTTGGTCGAAAGAAATCTTATTCGGTGACATTTCGGAGTGATTTAAGGACGCTGTCACGGGACATTGGCAAAAGCTTTTAGTAATAGAGCAGCCGATGCATAGCCATACCTTTATCTTCGATTAATTATAAATCACTGGACTAAATCTAATGGAATATCGGATGACTTGGGATAATCTAAGCACCCATGTAATAGAGTGAAGGCATTGATCCTGTGAAATAAAAGTTAATAATTAAACTGTAATAGTCAAATAGACACAAAAGAAAACAATGGAATTATCGAGTAATAACATGTAATAGTCAAATACGTATTTCACGGGTTCATTGACTTCACTCTATTTAAGAGCAAATTTATCGTGGAACTTTTCTTCTTTATCAAAATAGARACCCACTAGAAATAAACAATTTTGCAAAGAATATCTGGAGTGTCGATCGGAAAAGCGAAGATTGGAGTGTTAGTTTTTAAAGAACTTGAATTTGCAGCCTCGCTTGAAGGTTTCAATAGAGTCTCTTTGTTGATGAATTTGACTTGAGACTATCTAGCATTCAAGCACAATGAAAACACTTTTACTCCGACGAAGGATTAACGTCCGAAACGTCAGTAAGTTATTTCACATACTTTTTTACGATGTTAAATTTATCTTTTTACATAACTGTTTCTTTAGAAACACCGACGCAGCTCACACTAGTTTACCGCTAGTTCCCACCATTTTACAATTAAAATGTTGGACTCTGTATATGTTAAACAATAAGAATGCCCGCAGACATGAAGTGAGCCGTAAATAACAAACAAAATATACAAAACATTTCGTGATAAGCAGAAGCAAGTTTATCATAAAAACTTTCATCTTTTAAAAATAAAGCTCTAAGCAATGATAATTACGTAAGTTTTATYAAAACTTTGCAGAGACGTAAGCAGCCAAAGGAGAACGCAATGGTAATTACGTAAGTCTTATCGAAACGTAGTCAGTCATGGAAATGCGCAGTGCTAATTATGCAGGCTTTATCGAAACATTGCAGARACGCAATGGCCAAAGAATAGAATATCAAATGCCTTCAATTGTAGGATATGAAGTTTGTGAAACAAAAATCACAATAAACATATGTTTTTGTTATGAATGCGTTTTATTCTTAATTAATACATAAAAAAACATCAATGACAAGATAGTCATTTGAGTACCATCCAATCTAACTAAATTAGTGCATTTACTGACTGAATTTACAATTGCCCTRTCGCACAATTGTTTTAAYGCTAAGGATTATGATCGCTTGAGGGGATCAGAGTGATTGCATATCAAAAAAGATGTAGGAAAAAAAATGTAGATGAGCTATCATTGATAAATGGTATACATCAGTGTCAATATTGTAGATCAAGCAAATTCGATTGCTTTGTTCTCATTCACGAGCTTTAACTTTGCGTGGACGTCGGTGACGCGGGGGAACCAGYTGTTTGCAAAATATGTAGCGTGTGTTAWAACAACCATGTATATAGATACGGCTTYTTAAATCAAATCCYTTTCGACAAACACGCCTWTTGCAATGCCTGCACGCGTATATTCCAAAACGATTCGAATACCCMAGATTGAAGCGACTGCAACGTCGACGGTTAAAGTATACTGCAAAACAGAAACGACCATTGTTAATATCTGAATTAACAAACGTAGTTATAAAATATAAGCAAAGAAATTTCAATCTAAATGGCGCTCACAGTCGATATACWTTGAGGCTCCACATTTTCCATGCATTGTAAAAGTGAGTTCAAATCGACGGAAGAAATTGATATTTTTCACATTACTTTATAATCAATGAATTTTAAATAATAATAATATCAATTTAATTAAAAGTTTTTAAAATTTTGAAAATTATGAGCAAAAAGTATGGCAAAAGCTAACAAAACTGTGTACATAAATCTCTTGAGTGCTGAAAACGGGAAAAATCAGTTTTATCATATAATTATCTATGAAATACCTATATTTCTCCATTTCGTAAAATTGATATTTTCACTAGAAAATAACATGTTATTAGTGAAAATAACACATTCGAGGTTTCTCTATATAATGCAAGTAAGAAAAAAGGTATTTTTACGGCATAATTTGCTTTCATGTAAAATTACATGATAAATAGAATATTACATGTTCGCTTGGGAATATGAATTTTATCTTTCTCGTGTTGAAAATCTCTCATTACGCTACGCTCACTCAAATTTACCTCTTATTCCTCCTCTGCGACGACGCCTGCYTTTGAGAGATTTTTTAGGATCCTCAACTTTATCTTCGTCTGACGTTTCTAGATCTGGAAATCAAATGGGKTTGCCTATCTTAGTACTAGTGCATGGAAGGAGGGGAGTGAAAATGCATGGATATTCAACCTCCCGTTTTGACCACTGAAAATTCAAGGAAAATTATCAAAAAAAWTTATATCAAGTTTTAAAGAAAAAAGATCTTGTATTTTCCAATGCAGTCCTCTTATATATTTTATCTAGTCTTACTACCCATAGTCTTTCTAATTTCTTAATATTCTTATATATAGTTTCTCTATTTTCGTCCAACTCCTTAAAAAAAATATATGCAGGTYAACAGAATGACTCAAATGGAAATTGATAAAAACCGCACAAGATAAAAGTTGGAAGAGAACCAAGGCGGTTGTCAAGAACCCTTCAAAAGTTTTTTTTAATATTTTTCCATCAAAACTGAACCTCCATTGCTAGGTTAGGTTTCGTTTAATTGTTTGAAAAGTTTGTATTGCTTTTATCCATTGTCAGTTTCGAAACCAATCACGAGATTCGCATCGAAGCAAAGGCACGAAATTGGCGAGATGAGCCTTTTACATATTAGTGAAGCTTCATTTAGCTGAAAACAGGTAAAAATACAAATAGAGGCAAATCACAAAGAATGTAYTTAAAATTACCTTGTTTGTCTTTCGGGTCTTCCAGTTCTCCTTTTGGATCAAATTGTTCGTCTGCAATTCAATGATCAAAACAAGTCATGAGCTCTCACTCCCATTTCAAAAACAAATAAAAAATAATTTAAAAGTCTCACCTGGGATGCTGTTATCGTCCTCAAACTCCTCGTTCTGGARTTCTTCTGCACCTTCAGTTTGTTCCTCATCAGCTGGAACATCATCTTCAGTTTGCAAGGGAGTTTCTGGTTGGTCTTCAACGGGAACTGCTCCACTGAAGGAGACGACGCCAAATATCACGAGAACAACGAACGAGAGCTTCATGGTGTTCGACAGTACGACTGACTCGACTGACTKTWAAGTAAAATTGCTTGTTCTTTTGTGCGTTCATTACCCATAATACCTCACGATGCCGGTGGTTGTTATAGGACGCCGTTTTAGTAAGCCAATTAGTGAAGAGAAACATGTGCGTACGTAGATCAATTGCTTTCACGTTATTCTGAATCAATGAACTAAAACTGATGGAATATCGGATGACTTGACATGATCTATGCACCCACGTAAGAAAGCAGGAGCAAATTTATTGTAAAAACCTTCATTATTTCAAAATAACGACCAAATAGGAAAGAAATTGCCAAAAAAATTAAGATCTTTGGAATGTCGGCAAAGCATTGAATGGGATTGAAAGGGATTGAATGAGACTTTCTGCAATGGGCTTTGCAGCCTCGCTTGAGGGTTTGAATAGAGTTCCGTGCGAATAAATTTGTAGCCTCGTTCCGGTGTTTTCAAATCTTTATAGAACTCTTTAACTAGTTCTCAAGAATCGATTCTCGTCGTAAGCACTTTCAGATCTTGAGCATATTTATATTCATTCGAAATTGTAAATAGGTTCAGAAAAGATCTTGGGTATTTTTGTCGCACTTTTAAAGACTATAAATCAATGTTTTTTTTTTGTAAAATACAATTCTGTATGAGAACAATAGGTCGCCATATATGGAAGTACTTTGAACCGTGGACTGGTTTTAACGATCTCCCAATTCTTAGTGCATTTAACTTATCTTTAAAATGGTGGGAACTAGCGGTAAACTAGTGTGAGCTGCGTCGGTGTTTCTAAAGAAACAGTTATGTAAAAAGATAAATTTAATACCGTAAAAAAGTATGTGGAAAAACTTACTGACGTTTCGGATGTTAATCCTCTTTCCTCTTTACTCCGACGAAGGATTAACATCCGAAACGTCAGTAAGTTTTTCCACATACTTTTTTACGGTGTTAAATTTATCTTTTTACATAACTGTAATTTATTTTCACTAACGATAGTTGATAATAAAATTTAGAAATTTTATAATCCGCTGGCACATGACTTTTTCAGGCAAGATTTCGATGGAACCAACTACTAAGGACTCTTCATCTATGTTCATCAAGTGTTTCGGTAAAGACCACCGCGTTATTTAAAGAATGCCAATTTTACGGACGCGTAGCATCGAAAAATGAAGCTTTTCAAGTTGATTCTTGCCATGGGCAATTTGAACTGATATTTTGTTCAGCGAATCTGAACCTACCATAATGGTGGATAGCGATGCGTAGACAAACAACTAGAAATCTTATAGATACAATATATCTAATAGACTACCAAACAAACTATAGAATAAAATTTACACTTTATGGAAGAGAATTGTCCTATCACATAATAACGTTACACCAAAACATTCTATTGCATGTATTAACGCTAAGGATTATGGTCGCCAGAGGGGGTCAAAGTGATTGCATATCAAATTAAATGTATAGATTAGCTTTCACTGATATAATCAATATACATCAAAACTCGATACACTAAAGTTCTACTTTCGGAAAGAACGTTAATCCACAATGTAAACATACTGTGACGTCATTATGCCATAGGGCAATTTATGTCAATTATTCAATTATATATGCACTCGGTTCGAATATATACACAATTTTGATAAACGTATTTACAATATCTAGATTTTGCAGGATTTTTCTGTTTTGAGCATAAGCAATTCATATATCTCTCGTCGTTCATTAGCAACAATGACGTTGACCTTAACCCTAGCGCGCGTGCGTAATGACTTGTGGAGCAAAGGCTTGACGGCAAGAGCGCAATGAAAACCCCTATTGATGGGACAGTGCTGAGGCATGATTGAGACCTAGAAACAACAACGAATGACATTTTTACTGGCTGAAAAAATGCCGGAAATACCCAAATAAAGTGTCCTTCTGTAACGTTGCGCAAAGACCTGACCGTAAGGAAATTGTGAATGCAACATGGGCGCTCTGTGCTATAAAGACTGATCTGAAAACGGCAGAGCATGGACTTAAAAATGATACAGGAAATGACAAAAATACTCGCATAAATTGTGCTTCTCTGACGCTGATTTGAGGACTGGTGTTGTAACTTAAAAAGGGTGCTAAGGAATAAGGGACTGTGCAATTCTTATCAACCCCCCTCCTCCTAATAAATATTGCGCAGTTGATATGCAGTCCAAGGGAAGAGATTTTGAAAGACCCCTTTTGAGCTACAACTTCTCATATATATATGAGGATAGACGATTGGACAGGCTGACATTTTTGAACGTCTCGAAGTAATACACTGAAGTTGAGACTGCTCTCATAGACCCCCCAAAAATGCGCTCGAGATCTTTTCAACACTCGAAGATTTTCTGCCCCCATGTCCTAGTGTCTTTTTAATAGATTTACCATGAAATCTCACTAGTAAATAATCTTGTTGTGTACTTATTTTCTTTGCAGAGACGTAATTTAAGCAGTCATACGAAAACGCAATGACAATTACGTAATTCATGAAAACTTTGCGTACACAATGACCTCAAGAGTGTGTTAATAAGATGGACATACCCCCAGGATTGCGGGGGTTGACCCCAGGATAAAAGTACCGGGGATGCGCGTTGGATCTCTTAGGTGTAAAGATTCGTGATTGGGAATCTATAGGGGTGACAAATTTGTATTTTCTGCAAAATGTTTTAAATCCCGATTCTATATAAATCTGATTTTGGAGTATTTTTGACATTTAATCCCAAAGTTGCTTCCTCTATGATTCCTGTNTGCTTCAAATTATATCCGGGACCTTTTCATTTTTGACATCTATTGTCTTACTGTCATTTATGTTTCTAAGCAACGATTCAAAGGTCGCCTCGTGTGTAATAATAGCCGGCAAAGTTTTTAAGATCGAACATGTTGGATCTAGGTCATCTAGCTTCTACAAATACGCTAGATTCTTTTACAAACCATTCGCGGCATAGCCACACTAAAAAAATTCGAGCGTTTCTCAAAAGGGCATTTAGAGAGATACGGCGAATTTATCGTGATGATCTATTGATCGTGAATTATATATCAAACATTAGCTTATCAAAAGCTAAATTATACTAGTACCGGCTCTACAATCACCAAGGACTTATCTAAGACATGTCAACAGATTTATACTGAGGAAAAACAGAGGATTGGAAGTATTTTAAGCGAAGAACATGAAAGACTATCGATCTGTGTTTAATACAGCCAAGGATGCGACTCTTAAAGTAACGGCTCGTCAGACATAAATTACTTCTTTCACAATATTATTAAATTCTTCTAAGTACATTACTTGTTTGATTATTTTTCATTAAAGGAAATCTTTTTTTTGCTGTTGTCTTAGGAATATTAATTTCATTAGGGTTCGATATCATTTACTGATTGTAATATACCACAGGAAGCCCATGTAAACGATCGCTGATCGTCTAGTTATTCTAAATTTATCTCTTTAAAATTACAAAGTTGATTAAGTACAAAGTTCCTTTACACAATTGCAGAAGAAACGATGTTTCCTTAGTGGAAAAAGGGAGAAGTCATTATTTTGCAACACTGTTTTCTTCTTGATCTAATGTTATGGTTCTTGAGATGTCGACAGTGATATATTTCAATATCTACGTTTGCAATGTGTTTTGCACCCTCCGGTCAAAGAACAAGGCCAACCTTTACCGCGGTATGGGACGCATGAACTGTAGCAGCAACGTCTGCATGCATAACGTTTACCACGATGTGTAATCCTGAATCCTTTATAGCATTTCGGGTGCCACACTACCAATGACACTATAGACACATACGATCATTGTCACTCATAAGGTATCATACAACACAAAGTGAAGGGATTATAAAGAAAGGCATTTTCACTGTGCAAAGCAAGCAAGCAAGCAAGCAAGCAAGAAAGCAAGCAAGCAAGCAAGCAAGCAAGCAAGCAAGCAAGCAAGCAAGCAAGCAAGCAAGCAAGCAAGCAAGCAAGCTGCTTCGAGATGTCTTTTATATAAGGTCTCATCATGACGTTGCGTGAATTACGCATATCAGAGTACTTACTACGAAGACAGCGTCTCTTTGCATAAGCCACAACTGCAAAAAAACAATGGTAAGATTCAATAAATCAATCAAAACTTAGTATGAATAAAGACAGATTGTTTATAGGAAAGCGATAAGATCTTGTAAAACGTTTTCGGACATATAGACTTTGTTAGCTTGGATTAAGAGGTTTCTTCACAATGGCCGACATGATTGCTTTCATATCATAAAGAAAATTAGTCACGTGATCCTCCCGGTGGCAAACCTTCGATGAAACATCAAATTTGGAAGATCGACTGGAGTGCTTTCAAAATAGCCATGAAATTGTTTGCAAACTAAATTGGCCAAATAAGTGTGAAATCCCTGTCTCGAAGGTAGTCATTTTCATCTGTCTGTGAAATAGGAATTGTACTGATAAAAATCTGATAATTCCAAACTTAATTCATCTGTTTATAAGCATCAACGAAAAAAAAAAAAAAACTATGAACTGCATTGTAAAATTATAGAAATACCAAAAATTACTGAGTTGTTCACATCTCCTGTGAGATTAC